CTGAATGAAAATCATTTGTTGAAAAACATTTAGACTTTCTTCATAGTATATCTATGCCTATCTAATTACAAAAATGCCACTGACATAACATGACTAAATCCTTTTAAATCTTTTTACGCAAAGTATAATATTTAACTAGGCTTTAGTGATTAAAAAAATTCTTTCCTATTTCTCCTTAGATAATCAAACCAATGCCTCACATATGAGACAAAGAAATGTCCAGAAGAAACTACACTGAAGTGATGGAATTTGTTCTCTTGGGTCTAACAAGCCGTCCAGAGTTGCGGGTTGCTTTCTTTGTGTTGTTCCTTTTTGTCTACGTGGTGACTGTGGTAGGAAACCTGGGCATGATTGTTTTAATCAAAATTGATTCTTGACTTCACACTCCATGTACTTTTTTCTCTCGAGTTTGTCCGTTCTAGATCTGTGTTTCTCCACAAATGTCACTTCCAAAATGCTAGAAAACTTCTTATCTGAGAAGAAGACCATTTCATACACAGGTTGTTTGGTGCAGTGTTATATTGTCATTGCTGTGATCCTTACAGAGCACTGCATGTTGGTGGTCATGGCGTATGACCACTACATGGCCATCAATAATCCACTGCTCTACAGCAGCAAGATGTCCAAGAGTGTCTGTGTCCGCCTGGTCATTGTCCCTTATGTCTACGGCTTCCTCCTCAGTGTGATGGAAACCTTGACGACCTACAACCTCTCCTTCTGTGGTGCTAATGAAATCAACCATTTCTACTGTGCTGACCCTCCTCTTATCAAACGGTCATGCTCTGACACCTACAGCAAAGAGCTGTCGATGTACATAGTCGCTGGCTACAGCAATGTGCAGTCCCTCGTGATCATCCTCACGTTCTGCATGTTTATCCTTGCAGCTATCCTCAGAAACCATTCTGCAGAGGGGAGAAAAAAAGCTTTCTCGACATGTGGCTCCCAACTGACAGTAGTCACAATCTTCTACAGAACCCTCTTCTGTATGTACTTGAGACGCCCCACAGAGGAGTCCATGGAACAGGAGAAGATGGTGGCCGTGTTTTACACCACGGTGATCCCCATGCTGAATCCCATGATCTATGGCCTCAGGAACAAGGATGTGAAAGAGGCCTTGAGAAAAGCAACAGGAAAGCAAAAATCAGGGAAATGAAAGTTCTAAATTATTATTAAAACGTTCTAGAAGTAGTAAGATATAATATTATTGCATTACACATCCAAGTTTAAGCTAAATATACACAACACATTTCTAATGTCCTGTTATGTAGCTGACTGGGCTTAAATTCATGAAATAGTGGTTGGAAACGGGAAGAGGAGGTGCCATTTAGGCAGTTCATTCTTATTCCTACTTTTTTCAGCTAGTGTCATTTCTTGCAAAAGTAGCATTTTAAACACTGAATTTTTGCTTTGTTTTGCTTTTATGT